AACATTTTATTGCATCTTCAATACCAGTTGATTTATGTTGAAAAGAAAAATGTATGAATAAAATTGGCTATCGATAACTTTGAAATAAATTTTTGCAATGTGAAAGCGGGTTTCTTACTCATTAGTTCAATAAATTCGGTTTCCAACAAGTCTAGTTAAAGTTCTCTTACCGTCGGACTAACCATGGGAGGTTTTCAAGGTTTTGCGTCACGGTGAAACAAAGCAACGCGCTAATTTCAGAGAATAATGAAAGCAAATTTACCCTTTGTTTGTTGCTAGCCATATTGTGGTTACCTATTTTGATAGACTAAAATCCAATTCCATTGAATATTAAGTATGTTTATATATATATATATATAAATTACAACAATATCAAGTAATGTATAATTTCGGAAGGGGTTTTGTCACCAAAACTACGCCACTGGTTAGGTAGTTACTTTTATAGATTGCAAAACAATTGAAAGCTAGTTTTAAACTATTTGCCATATCAGTAAATATAAAAGTAGCTTTTTTTTAAATGTAGATTTACAACTTTAAAGTGATACATATCGAAATTAATTCCTTTTTCACTATAGAAAAACATTTTAATTTGTACCTTTGAGAAATTTATTAACCTTTGAGAAAATTTGTACTTCCTCAAATTTGTACCTTTTATTAACCTTTGAGAAAAATTTATCTAAATCAACTCTAGAGAGCAGCACCTACTATTTAATTTATTATGCTATCTTATTTTTTTTCTTTCTTTTCTCAAAATTGTTCACGTATACCTTTTGCGCTTATCAGCATTAACCCCATTTTCGGCCAAAGGTGCGTAAACGCACCATTTTAATAAAAATTTTTCTATTAACATTGTGGTTAATATTTCTCAATAATTTAATTTTTCGGTTGTTTTTAAGAGTTCTGAAGACATCTATAAAATATTAGTTATTCAATTGGAGTAAATACTTTCTGTTGAGAAATTTTCAAAACACGCTAGTTCTTTAACTTCAAACTGTTATTGAAAAAGTCTACCCTTTGAAACTGTATAACTATTCCACTTGAGATTTATTATACGTTTTTATAATGGGTTAAAATTGTAAGTTCTGAAAACAAAATTAAAAAAATAACAAACAAATATCATAAAAAATTAAAAAATTTTAATTCAAATTTAATGGTGCGTTAACGCACCGCGTGCATGACAAATAAGCAAAATTTTAAAACCCACTTTTTATGCCAGGTTAAAAAGTTTTATTGGAATTTTAGAGTGATTTCTTTGAAATTTACTTAATAGATTACTACTAATACCAATTCTTTCTATACTAATACTCTCTGGATACCGTATTCCTTCTGGTATCCAGAGGTATATTTATTCCGTATACTAATTCTTTCTGGTATCCAGAGGTATATTTATTCTGTATACTAATTCCTTCTGGATACCGTATTCTTTCTGGTATCCAGAGGTAAATTTATTCTTTCTGGATACCGTATTCTTTCTGGTATCCAGAGGTAAATTCATTCTGTATACTAATTCCTTCTGGATACCGTATCCTTTCTGGTATCCAGAGGTATATTTATTCTGTATACTAATTCTTTCTGGATACTATACACTTCCTCAAATAGATAAGTACTGGTCTTTAGATGAGGATAAAGTACTGCGAATAATTCGGAAATGCATGAGTCGAAACAGATTTAAAAGCCTAAAGCAGAATATTCATTTGTCGGATAACTTTTATCTTGATAAAACAGCCATAATTGCAAAGCTACGCCCATTTTTTATGCAATAAATCAAAAGTATCTACAATTTGGAATATTTTCTCAACATTTGTCAGTTGACGAAGAGATAGTGCCTTATTTCGGAAGGCATTCATCAAAAATGTTTGTAGTATGTGCATCAAAAATGTTCATAGTTTGTTTAGAAATGTCTAAAGTTTAAATGTTGGATTTAAACTTTTGAGTTTGTGCTCGGATACTTTTTCGAATTCATTCCTTATAGAGGTATTGAGACTAACAGTGATTTACAAAATATGCCATTAGGAACAAGCGTTATTCTCAAGTTACTTAGTGTTGTTTCCAAAATCTGAGATGCACAAAATTAATTTTGATAACTTTCCTTTTCCTATGGCTTATTCGAAATTTTGAAAGAAAAAGGTTTCTTTGCATCTGGCACAGCTCGCGAAAATAGTATCGCTGGTTGTATATAGGATGATTCCAAAAATATGAAGGAAAAAAAAACATCGTATTTCCTTCGATTTTGCATTCAACAAAGATGCAAAAAAATGTGCCAAAGTGAAACGACAATAGTGTGGCAATAATTGTTACTAATAACGGAACCATTTTGCCCCTTGTAAATGCCGAATGATACAGTCGCAAAGAACTTGTGATTTCACAACCCATCATTATTTCGGATTACAATAAGCATATGAGAGGTGTAGACCTACATGACAATGCTATAGCTAATTACCGCATCAAGTTTCAAGGTAAGAAATTGATAGCGCTATGGTAAATTCATGGAAACTACATAGAATTTTAACTAACTCAAAAATATAGCTATTACCCGGAATCCAAAAACAATCCATCTGGTGAAAGTATTATGCATTACAGGCTACCCATCCTAACAAAGGTCGCCCATCATCCGCAGCTGTACGAAATAAAGTTAGGACTGATAGAGTCGGACATACAATAAGTGAACATGAAAACAAAAAAGCCAGCAGACGATGTAAAGTGTGCAAAAACCACACGATTTATTTATGCATCAAATGCAAAGTCGATTTGCATCCAAAATGTTTCCATTAAAAATATAACTGTTGAACTAAACGAATTGTTCTTTGATCTGACCAATGGTGCGTATAAGCACCATTTTATTTCTTAAATAAAATATTATTTTTCATGCCCGAAACTTATTTTTTGTCTTAGGAATGTAAGTTAAACATATTTCAATCGAAATAATACCACCTTTACGAAATTTCTTTTCTTGGACTAAAATGGGTTAAAGCAATGGGATCTGGGTGTATAAACAAAGACGACAGACGTATCTATTGTTTTTTTTAATAACAATTTAGATATATTTTGGGATCTTTAATCTTCATCAATTAAAAACTTGTTCATCAAATTTGACTTGAAAGTCGTAGGAAGAGATCTGGTGATAATGGGGGCCCATCCATTTGTAATTAATCGAAATGAATAATCTATAATGCATTTATTTTGAAATTTCAATAAAGCGTTTTTTACAGAAATATTTTTCATTTTTATTTAAAAATAATATTTCTCTTTTAAAATAAAATTCCATAAAAGATAATTGTAAAATTTATATTTCGCATCACCGAATTTTCTCAATTAAAATTTTTTATGTTTTTCATTTTAATTACGTTAAAAATCAAAATACATTTACTGCTGAGTTTTTAAAATGACTAAAAAAACCTGCATGAAATTAAAAATGTTAAAGATTAAATTAAAAATGTTAAAGATTATTGTGGTCAGTAAGTTGCTTCTTTTATAATTTCTACTTCTATTAGTCTACAATTATTACAAGGATTTAAAATTTGTCACACACAAAATGTAAGCAAAGTTTAATGTCCTTCTTAATTGTTAACATCATAAAATAATGTAAGCTAATTAAACTAAAATAAGTCGAAAGGGTTGAAAAAAAAATAGTTGAAATACATATATAAACACATATGTAAAGACTCAGTAAAAACTAGATAGAATTGTAAATAAAAATAAATTTAAAAAAAAAAAAACGAAACACACACACTTTAAAACAGTAGTGACATTTTTAGCGGCAATCCAAAACAAAAACTTTTGTAGGAATGGTATAAATATATATTTAAAAAAAAAATTTAAACCTTTGAGAAAAATTTATCCAACTTTTTTTTAATAAATTTCTATTGTTCCAGTGCCTCCACAAAAGTTAAATTGACTAACAGCACAATACAAACACACATGAACATCTCATTGTTTGCACTAAAATTTTGTTTTTCAACAAAATTACTATCAATTAAAATATGTGGCTATTACAGAGATAGCTGCCCAATTTTTCAGTAAGAAATTTGGTTTTTAAGTAAAAAAAAAAAAAAAAAAAAGGAGNATTAAAAAAAAAAAAAAAAGATTACTATAATCAATAACTTAACCAATTTAAAGATTTTTTAATTTAAATACCAACTCAGAAAATAATACAAAATAATTCATGAGATAAAAACAGGACATATCGAAAATATTGCTTCATTAGCAATTTATAAAGCACTTCTAATTATTTTGTTACATTCCAAAAATAATTCTTAAATTTTAGCAACTAGCACCATATTGAGCCTTTGGGGCTACGCACATCTGCAGAATTTCCTTATTTAGTAGTTTTATTTCAATTCATAGCTTTCAAAGTAAATAATTTATTATTTTCTTCTATTTAATTTTGCCTGCCACTTTGTTCATGTTGGAGAAAAGGAAAATTTTTAATTGACTATCAACATTTAGGAAACACTAGTTACTTAGATTGTAATCAAGAATTAAGCTCAAATTGAAATTAGGAAATTCTAGCTAGTCAGAAATCGGTTGGAATTTTCTATTAATTTTTGGAAATGGGGGAAAAAAATAGAATGATAACATTGATATACACCAAAGCTAGTTAATAATGCAAGCTGAGTAAAAAATAAACTAAATATTCTCTCTAGCTGAAAACTGTTTGGGAGGAGACTTATTCTTAAAAGTAATTAACCTATTGAGGTTTGTATGGAAATAGTAATACTTATGATTCTAAAATTTATTTTCTTAAAAAAATAAATAAATAAATAAAAAAACCCTTTTCAATAGATATATGAATTAATTTTTCCATTAGGACAAAAAGTGTTTTTTTTTTCATGTAAAAAATAAATTCTAAAACCATAATATAAAGGTGTAATATTTAATTATAGTCTATATTTTGAGAAATATATATTAACGATAGAGGAAAGAAAAAAAATATAATAAGATCACAGTGTGGCTGGTACATTTTGAAGTGCATGTAGCTGATCAGTGATAAGAATAAAATATTTAAAGCCAACAATAACAAATTTATTGCATTTCAGAAAAGCTATCTAAAAAGCAATCAATTCTTTTTACAATATCAGTCCCACAAAATCACAATATTCATCTAAATTAGAATGATACAAGCTCAATTATTTTAGAATAGAACTATAATATTCAAACTGTGTAAGATAAATTCTATGTAATAAATGATCTAAAAATATATACATATCACTAATATTTTAGATGAACATAAACAATTATAATAAAGCTCTAAAGTTCAACAATATCAGTAGGTTTGTTTAACAAAATGTAACAATGAAATATAAGTCTGAAATAAATTAGCAGTTTGCTTTTATTATACCTACTTAAAGAGGACATAAACAACAAGACTTTTCTGCCAACAGATAACAGGAAAAAATATAGGAATGAAAGTATAATGAATTTAAAGTACTGTCTCAGGCACAGCAAAATAACATAAACAAATAAATCACACATTTTTAAAAAATATATATCTAAGAAATGATTAAAACACCAACACCATTAAGAAATTACAAGAGAAAAAAGAGAGTGCAACATTGCAAGGACAAAATTTAAAATGTGAACTGTTAAAAAACAATTAAATTTACAAAATACATAAGCTTTAGATATAATTGAAAGTTATCTACTTGAATATAGTAAAGAAAGCTTTAATACCAACTAAGACCAAAGACAGATTGTTTACCCACAGCTTACAAAAACAAACTGTGTTTTAATACAGTTCATTATATAGAAATTGAAAGGAAAGTTTCAAGACTAATTCAAACCGTAAAGATAAGTGACTTAAAATTTTCTTTAGAGTAAATAATAAATAAGACTTAATCAGCAATTTTGCTCTTCATTAATGTCACTGAGTGAAATCAATACGACATGCTACTGAATTAAATGTTTTTAATAATGTAAAATGATAGCTTAGTAAGAGTTTAAAACATTTTTTGATTTTCAAAGAGTATAAAGGAATCATCTCTGTTGGCATCTTTAGTGAGAAATGTTCTACACAGTTTATCCATATAACATTTTTAAATTAAAGTAAAAAATATATGAGAACAAATTTTTTATATTTTAAGTATCTTTTGTTACAATTATATGTTAAATTCTTAAAAACGTTTCATCAAATAATTTAGTAAATTACAAAGATTTCCCTATATGCCAAACTATACACTAAATTAGATGTTGAAAAATATATAAGTTATATCTTTTTGGGTAAAAAAAATGGAACTGAATTATGATATAAAATAAAATGTTAAGAATCAAATATTACTTTGGAGGAAAGAAATAATTTGAACAAGTTGAAATTTCATATCAACGTATATCCTGGAGTTGATAGGTTTAAGAAATAGTGAAATTCAGTAATAGTTACCATGATGTGGCTCACATTACAAGTAACTGACAATTTTGTAGCATTGTGAACTAATATGTAACTAAGTTATTCTGCTATGCAGTTCTTATATCATGCAAGTGACTTTTTAACAACTAAATACTCATTTTCTAATAAAACCTTGATCAAAGCAAATATGGACATTTTACTGCTACAGAATTATTGCTCATTTTTTTTTAAAGCTTTACAGATTTTGTATTGCTAATTTTCTTCCTTTTTAAAAAAAATAAATAACTACAAATGGTGAATTTTTAGTAAAACCAGAAAAAATATCCAGGTGCCATGAAAAAAAATTATTTAAAACCAAAGGAATCAAGATAAAATCTATGAAATATTCTAACTCATAAAACAATGAGATTGAGTCCAGTTTAATTTGAAACAAAAAATAAAACAATTTGCAGCATAATATATATATTTACAACTAAATAATATATACAGATAAAATATGATCTAACTTCTGAATGCTTTTATACAACACATACACAGATATATTTCATACATAAACTAGCGAATTACGAATATAAATTCTACAAATGCTAAGAATTTTGCATTTTTTCCTTCTGTAGAGGACATTCCCCCCTCATTTCTTAGCATTATATATTATTATAATAACAATCTTAATAAAATAACTATCTTAAGTAACAGCATAATAAAAATGAGTAAAGAAAGCTAAACTTAATATTTAACTATTTTCAAAAAAGTTAAAAATTTACACAACTAAATTTCTAAACATTTAATAATAATGCTTTAGAAATCTATTCTGAGAATTGTTCTACGTTGGATAATTCATGTGCAATTCAGGATTTTTCAAGACAGTTTTATAAAATAATAAAATTGCTTTATTGCAAAACAGATTATTTTGAAAAGAATTTAGAATTAGGGTGACATAATAAAAATATTTTTTTTTTGCTTTCCTAATCAAGCTGATACATTCAAATTATATTAGTAGGCTTTCAAGTATAGCAAATGCTATACGTTTAAATAAAAGCATAACAATAAACATGATAATGAATAACATACAATGCTTTATGACAAATAAAGAAAAAATGCAATTCAATTAACACAGCGTTGAATGTTCACTACCAAGAAGTTGGACTCACAGCATTCAAATCAAAATTAGATATCATTAATTTAATGCCATGTTGCTTAGCATTCAAAATTGCTTCTCTAGAAGCAGCATTGATTACAGAGGTCCTTTCTTCACACAAAGCTTTATTTTCTTTGTTTTTTAATTCTAATAGTTGTTCTTTAGTAAGTTTCTTTGGTTTACTAACTTTTCCCATATAAAACCATCTACCAGGATTTGTTATAACTGTATCACCTGGATTACTCATTTTTCGTCGAACAACAGGAGATGGCTCAGGAGTCACACAAGGCGTACTATCAGGAGAAGAGAATTCTTCAATTTTTAAATTACTCAATGCTTGATGCAGCATAGGCAATTGATCAGCCTGATTTATGATAAGTTTAGTGGGGGGTTGAAGTTGACTAACAGGCTGTTCACTTTGGATTGAACTCAGCTTGCTCAAATCTTTTACATCAACTGAAAAAAAATAATAAAGAACTTAATGTTGAAATGGCAAATTACTTCATATTTAATTAGGGATGTAGCTAATAGTGATTTGGCCAAATACTCGGCAGTTAAATAGCAACATTTTTAAAAAAAAGAAAATCATTAACAATTATAATTTTTTACATAAATCAAGTTTAATCATTTTTGAAAATAATCAAAACTTAGCTGTATTATTGGTGTACAATAATACAGCTAACAGCAGGACATACAGGGAAAAAACTTTTAGAAATGTTTAAGATAATTATAAATATCTAGGATAAAAAAAAACTAACAGCTTAAAAAAAAAAACTNAAAAAAAAAAAAAAAAAAAAAAAAAGAAATAGAGAAAAAAATATCCGCTTAATTCTTAAAGCAAACTTATAAAAAAAAATTCCGGAAAATATTATAAGACATTCAAAGATATGTCTATCAGAAAAGCTTTTAAGACTGCAGTGTTATCAGAGAAACATCCAGAAATAAAAAACAAAGATACAAAAGCAAAACAGAAAAAATAAAAATCTATCCTAATTTTTGGAAAAAAATTTTAAAGCTAAGCATTTTAAGTGTTAATTTAACTTTTTCAAATTGCTGTATTTTTAGAAAAAAGTGACCAGAAAAGAATAACGCTAATTAGAATTGCTCTTTAAAAAATGCTGGGAAAAAAATAAAAGTTAAAAAAAAAATAAAAGAAAAAAATTGTTCTATCTTAGTTCTGAAATATAACTTTAATGTTGAGAATCACAGTTTTCAATGTGACTAGTTATCTGTCTTCGTAAAAAAAAAGCGACAATAAAACAATAAAGTCTGTTAGAAATGCTCCGCTATAATGTTGCTTAAGTTAAAACGAAAAGAAAAAAGAAAATCAAAAATTAAACAAAAAAAGTTTTCAGTTTTTAAAACATAAAGTGATGAAAAAATGATGAATTGGCTTGCCTGAATATAATTACACAAAGAAGAAAATCAGCATTACGAAACTCATGATTCAGTATAAAGTAATCTAGAGTTTTGATTCTTTAAATTTCACTTTTCCAAGTTTATTTCAGAACATAAATTAACAAGTTTCAGAACCTAAGATATATATGTAAAATCTATTTCTAATAACGTACAGCAAAAAATATGATTTTAGATAATTTTTTATTAATTCTATTAAAATTTTCCCCCAAAAAAAACTTTGTCCAAAAATAATTTTCTAAATAACACTTTGACGAATACTCGACAAAAGGGCCGAATACTGAATATTCGACAAAAGGGCCAAATACCGAATATTAGTTACATCCCTATATTCAATATAAGAAACATACATTGCTAAATGTTCCACAAGTTATAATACAACAATTTATACATTTGAAAAGACAGGTAACTCTTTTAAAATGTTTCTTATTAATTGAAATATCTGGTGTTGTTCTGTACTGCATAGAAAACTTAGTGAAAAAGAACAGTGGACAGTAAAGAATAAATATAATATATAGAACCATATAGAGAAAAACAAGGATGTCTATACCATTAGAGACCTCAACCATTTACATTTTACTCCTTGACTTTATTATTCATTTTTTACCAACACTTGAATGGTTAGAAAACAATTTTCAAAAAACGTTTATGCTGTTTATCAAGAAGAAAAAGATTGTAGCAATCCTGAACAGTGGTTCAATGTTAAAGCACATACTACTTTCGGTTGAGAGGTCAAAACCCATTAGTGGCCAGCTTTTTTTTTTTTAATATTCTGATCATTAATTTCAAATTTTACATGACAATTTTTTAGAATTTATATACTTTGGTTTTCTTAAATTTACCACTACAATTTCTATTAATGATAAAGAAAACCGTTTATTGCATGATATATGCATAGTGAAGGGATTTATACTATTCAAGAATCAGTAAGCTTAAAAAGATTTTGAGGCATGCAATAGAGAGAAAAACTATTAAAGATAAAGAAAAACATATCCAAGATCTAAAGATCTTAGAAGATAATTTTGGTGCATACTGGTTGAATCTTATCACTGTATAACAAAGTAATTTGCATCAATGAACATGCTTTATGTCCTTTACATACAAAAATGTCCCTTAGGAATATTAACACTTAATGAACCAATGCTGCCCTTTAAGCAGCATAGCACATTCACTTATTGGGACAAATACTACGCATAAAAATAATTTGATTATTTTTATCACTATTGTTATTATATTTGTAATAAATTTAGTTGTGACTAATTATATAGTTATAATTAAACATTATAATTATACCTGGCAGGAAGTAAACTGGATACACTTCCTGACTGTTAAAGTTTAACAATGAACAATCTTTGAAATGAAAATAAAATTTTAATAAGGATGATTATATTTGGACTTCTTTAGGGCAAGCTTCCAAATCCTCTGATTTGGGACAGAAAAAAAAAAACATTCAAAAGAACGATAGTTTGAGCATCTTTAGCAGTGAAACTCCCAAAAAGTAAGGTTTGAAAATTAAAATGTTTCTGAGTATTTATTTAAACATATATTTAATCATTTAAAAAAAATTACTACTTCAAAATAACCCCATCATCGACAGTTATATCTTGGAGGGTAGAGAAGGACGTCAAGTTTGGTGTCATTAGTTAGATTTTTTTAAATATCAAATAATTCTATTTAATTTTTTGATCTAGTATTTATTTCTAGAGATATATTTATTTTAAACAATTTTCAAGCTCTTCATTTTGCAATTACAGCACTACTTGTGAACCAAAAGGCAAGAATCTGCAAGTCAAATCTGGGTAAATTTCTTAAAACTCCAAATCTGCAAAAAGAGAAAAAAAAAGAAAAGAAAAAAGGGAGTTACAAATATAGGAGTTACTGAAGCTAACCCCACAAAACCCTAGGAATGACATGGTTGAGTCAGGTTTGTTATCACACTAATACATATTTTTAAAACATTTCATACAAGTATTTTGAGAGTTTTGACCCAATGCGTATCTCTCATGATTTTCTTTTCTTTTAAATAATTTTCAAAATCTGCAATAAAAAATAAGAGTTCCTATTTAAGATTTTGAAGTTAACTTTTACACATCCAAAGCGTGAGGTTTGTAATCATAGAATTCATGTTTTGAAAATGTTGCATAAATGCATTATGAAATTTTTGAGCTGATGTCTATTTCTCAATATACGAGACTGCTTCCATTTAGACTACGAGTATAATATCAAAATAAGGAAACAAACAAATAGTAAAAAGTTATATATTTTTTATATTCAAAATTATTTCAGAACAGATGATTGAAATCAATAACAGTACTTAAGAAACTAAAAGCTAGAAAAAAATTAAGAGAATTTGTAAAAAAAATAAAAAAAAACTTACCAGCAGGAGAAAAAGGCTCTGATACATTTGGTAAATCTACACTGTCTTTGAGGTCTGAAAGGAAACCTTCTGTCTCAGGAGGGCTACAAGCATATTGCTCAAAATCTGTTGCAAAGTTTAACCTTTCAATGTTGTTAACCATCCAATCAGGTAAACCAAACTTCCTCTGTCGCACAGCTATTTCAGCTGTTGACTCTTCTGATTTACTCTCCATTGCGACCATAAAAAACTGAAAATAAAATTGCAATATGAAAATTTTTTTTTTTTAATGAAAGTTAATAAAGACTGCAATCAAATAAAATATTACAAGAAGAATAAAAATAGATTATTCATAATTTTTACAGTCAACAGACAGAAGAAATTAGTGACAAATAAACTATATTTGATAGCACATTATTTTCAATACAATATTAGTCACAGGTTAGAGTTGAGGGGAAACAAAAAACATCAAATAGAAGAAGCTAAAAGTGTCCAATATGTTTAGATGATCATAGGAATTAAGAATTCAATATCAACTCAGTGGCACGACAGACCATAGAGAGCCAAAGCCTACTCTGCCCATCTCAGTTTTCTCGACCTTGGGCTCAGGGGTGCAAGAGCAGATGTTCCTGTTGGGTGGCCAGTCTAATGCAAAATCTCCAGTGTTTAGTTCCCAAGCCTGCTAGGAACTCATTTCTTTGACCCACAGAAAGGATGAAAGGCAGAGTCAACCTTGCCTGGCCCAAGAGCGCTAGCACTCAGCCACTGGACATCAAGAATTTAACATAGTAAAAAAAAAAATTCTCATTTACTTTTTTTTATAAATAAAGAAAACTATTTTTCAATTATTTATTTTAGTCTTGTACAGAATTTTAAAGTCTATAAACCTTTAGCATGCTAACTTTTTAAAAATGGGATTCGTGTTATTCTCCTTACTAATGTATGTACACAGTACACTTATATTTAGATAAATTATATTTATTCACACTGTTTTTCATTTACAATATAATTCTCTTTAAAGAAATTTTTTTAATGTAATTAATATCTACACATAGATTAGGGTCTACAGATCTGATTTTGAATACTATCACATTTATATTTATCTATAATTTTCAATATTATTCTAAGATTTTTTTTTTTAACATGTTAAATCTCCATCACAATTTGTTTTCTTTAGTATTTTTAGATATTTAGTTTGCTCATAATACAAGGTCAGCATTATGATAGTTTAGGAATTAATACTCTTAATTAAACTAGAGTAAGACTGCTATCTTAAAATTGTTTCAGAGTTCATATTTAATTTATGGAAAAAATTTCCAGAAAATACATAAGTAGACCAATTATAAAACAATGCACGATTCTATGAAATGAATCAGTTATTAAAATATTAGAATACCTTGACAAATAAAAAAATATCTTCCACAATTCAGTGAAGGCTCATCGGGGACTGGTCGGTCGCAATGTGCATTATTAGCAGGAAATTAACCCATATCTTTCTGCAATATTAGTCGTGAATAGGTAATTTGCAAAGATTTACCTATCTTAGTGATTTTAATAGTTGATATTGAACATTTAGTAGTTGGCATCTATGTTATGTAAATTAGACCACTGGATTAACATGGATGGTTGACCGAAACTCATGCATTTTCTTTTTCATCGACATATTTCGCTTGCTTGCATGGTTATTAGCATCCATGATGATGTTATTCTGTGGCACTGTTCAACAGTTACCTGACGGCTCTAACTAGCATCATGCCAAGCTGTCTGATATACTTTTAGTGACGATTACAGTCAATGAATCTGCAGGTGTGGAAATACCACATCATGCAAAGAGATATATCCATTGCACATTAGTGTCTGTTTGTGAATATTGATGCCCATTTCATTGTCTATCTACTATCTAGGTGAAAATTTGAATCTGTAAGTTAAGTTTCTTGTTTTCATACTATCTCCTGTGCAGTCAGTCATATGTATGAGAGATACATGAAGTATTACATCGGTGAGCATGAGGCATTACAAAGTTAATATCTTAGTACATCTACGAAGTTAGACTCCATTGCAGAATTGCTGCAACACGGCGATATTGTTGCAGAATGTTAGAGTTTTTGATGAAAGATTTTTTTCTTCCTGCAGAATTTTTTTTCAAAGATATCTTTCTTGTGCATCAGAGAGGAAAGAAATAAACATGATTTTTCCATTCTCATTCCAGATTTTTTTTAAAAAAATAGGTAATAACTGACTTCAGCTAGAATTTCAAATTAATTAAAAAAAATTCAGAAATCGCAAAGTTTGGTCTAGAAATGATTTCTTTCTTTCATTTTTTCTTTCTTTAAAGAACATATTTTACATACACTTATTTGAGTATCACTTTCGTAAAAAAGTCCTATTCTAGTGATTCGTGATCTTTATTTTGGGAGTTCTGCACGGATTTCACGATTTTTAATTTATGAAAGTTTAATTTATTTATGAATTTTAATTTGTGTAATGATTTATAAAATTTGAAACTGCATTGTTCCGCCTACAAAATGCGAGAATATCGCATATAATATTAGAATAAAAAAAAATATTACTTTTACAATTTAAAATTTTTATTCTATACTTTCTTCCGTAAACACAACGCTTGTTATTTTAAATTAGTAATTGTTATAATTAAAGGTATCTTAAAGCAAAATATTAGTGATAAGGAAGTTTGTCATAGAAAGCCCGAAAAAATTCTGCCACAGGGCAGATAGATATTATAGATAATTATAAATAGAGAGTAGAATCAAGTATAAATTACAATTGTGAAAATAACCTTTTAAAAAATCTTACAAAACGCGATAAGACTTTTTATGTTTTGCGGAAGGGGCCCACAATTGTTTTTCTCTTGGGCCTATAAAATAAATATCCAGCCTTGCAAGTAGGTCGAAATTCAATGAGCAGCAAGGATCCTTTCCTTGTAACATGGAACATTGGAGATTGCTTCAGACTGATTTAATCCTATTGAAATCAGATTGTTTTTAAACAGCCTCCCTGATTATCCTGAGCTAACTCGCGTATGTACCTATATATTGCAAATATTTATTATCCTGATTAAACTTGGACATAGCAAAATTCGTCGATACATTTTGTTTTATCACATTTCAATTCGGTCGGAAGCACAACAAAAAATAATAATAATCTGCAGTGATTGGAAGTTTGCCAATATTTGAGGGACTGCAGACGTAATTTGTACAATTGTATATACGATGGTTGATATAGAAAAAAGTTTTTTTTTTAAAAAAATGGCGTTCTCGAGCCAAAGTGAAAGTAATGCAGATGATTTTTCAGATTATGAAGATTTGAACATATACAAAGACTAATATTTAACTTTTTTCATTGGTCGAGATAATTTGGGATCGAAAAATGATGGTAAATTAAATATTTTTTACACGTAAAAAAATTAAAATTTCAACTTAGTATTTGCGTATTATGTTTTGTTTTAGTTCATTGTACAGTAGGGAACCGATTATACGGAACGATCTGCACCATCGCTATTCCGGATAACTGATTTTTCCAGTTTTATGAATAGCTACAAAAAGCCGTTTTTTTTGCTAAACCCAACTAAAAAAAAATATTTGGAAATAATCTTAAAAAGAAGAAAAAACAATTAAGTAATATAATGATTATTTCCAAAATGATGGTAAGGTAAACATCTTTCAAAAAAGAAAGAAAAATCCTATAATCTTATGAGGAAAAAAATATTTTTTAAAAAAATGAATTTAAATTTCGCTCCGGTTTTTTGGTTTTCTGATTTCTAGATAACAGGTTCTGTACTGTATTTATTAATGAAATAAAAAAATATGCTGATTCCCTGCATTTTTTTTTCAAAAATATTGGTAAGGGAAATAGTTAAGCAACTTTATATGCAAAAACTACATTGATCTTTTTATAGGTGCAAATATGTATAGATGTTAAATAGAAATTGTTTTAGTGTTAGCAACATTTGTATGTTCACATACAAATCCTAATTTCAAAAATTAAATCTAAAATTGTCTTACCTACTATATCACGTCAATAATTCACACATAAGATATATTAATCAATCAGTTATGTTTATCAGTTGACAAAGAAGTTTACAGTAAAACATTTCTGCAACAGCCCATAGTGGGCCAGGGGTGCCATGTTAAGGCTTCACTTTTTCGTGACCATGACAACGTGGCCAGCATTGTGTACGAAACTGCCTTTACTTCCCAAATGGTACCCATTGATTTGAAGTCGGATGGGTTTCAAGACATAAACGGGAATCGCACCCCAGTTCTTCATGAATGTAGTTCAGTGTTTCAATTACTGAACTATCATGCACTCTTAACTTAGTAAGATAAGACAACAACCATACAAGTTGACAGCAATGCATTTTTAAAAGAATATTAAATGCTTTAAAAAATTTCAGTTAAATTTATATATTACTCACAAACCTTATAAACGTGAAATCAATTTATTTTCTGCTGCAGCAACAAAAAACTGTACAATTGATCAAATTCCACTTAGGGATGCAAAAACTGGAACTTTCAAGTGGTTAATGGCTCAGTTTTCTAGCTAAAAAGTAGTATGAAAAAATTATACATAACTTGTATTAAAAAATTACATTTTCATTCATTAATTTTTAAAAATTAGAAATTAAAATTTTCAAATACAAGAAGTACAAATTTTGGTGGTATAAAACTTATAACTTTGACTTTATGAGTTTTTTTTTTTTAAAAAAGTTTAATTTTCAAACCTATTTCTTTACATTTTAGATTTTCTACATTTTAGATTTTCAAATTCATGACTAATTCCAAGAATTTTTCATGACTTAAAAAAAGTTATTATTTTCTCCAACAAAAACACAACAATAAATTTAAAAAAGCATTATAATAACATTAATTGAAATGATTGTATAACCAAAACTGTTATACTCTGTATCTTCATATTTACAAGGGTGATTGTGAGCTCAACTAAAAAATCCTGAAATTTTTTTTAGTAAAATCATTAATGACGCATTTCAAAAATGCAATGTTTTTACAAATTTAAATCATTGATATTTTCAAAACATGAAAATATCAATGATGCGGCATATATGCAAATATGTGGCATAATTTAAATTAATAATTATGTTTAAGTTTACTTTTATCTCTAATCACATTTATTACTCTACTAAAAAAAATATTTACAAATGAAAGATAAGCCAAGTATAAATTCTAGTACTAATATTTTTAAATGTAATATACAAGAATTTTTATACATAAATGTGATTGATGATTTCTTGAACTTCTGGACCTTGGATTTATGGACACTTCCGGATAAAATTCCGGAGCACAATCATTTCTGTATTTATAGATTTTAAATTTAAAAAACTGAGTAAGGAAAGAGTTGAAGAAATAAAATAGCTAAAAAAAATACAAAAGCAAAATTTTTTTCCTTTCTTTCAGCTGAATTATATTCTAAACATACTTTTCTTGTTTATCGAAAAGGAAAGAAATTTTTTTTCGTTTCTCATTTTGGAATAAAAAAAAATCGTTAATGACAGACTTGCTTCAACTAGAATTTTAAATAGATGAAATAAAATAAATAAATAATATTAAAAATTCGGTAATCACAGAAGTTTAAAAGATAATTCACTCTAGAAATTATGTTTTTTCTTTCATTTTTTGAAAGAAGACCATAACTTTTAAAGAATATGATAAAAACATTTTAAATTTTAATCAAATATGACTGGGAGTGGGGATTTTGTTACAAATTCAGATATTTGGAACATCATGAAAATGGGGAGGGAGGATTCCATTTTAAAAATTGGATTTCTCGGCCACCTAAATCCAAGACTTTCCATGAATTTTTTTAACAAAAATAGTTAAAATCATGACAAATTTTGTTCAATACTAAATTTCATGACTTTCCAGGAGCGCAGATACCCTGTATATAGAGTAAAAAATTTAGGACATTTTCGTATTGTGATCTGTCATGCCAAACTTAATCGCCAAGGTTCCAAATAGATTTTAAACTTGTAAATTTTAAAAAAACAAAAAACATTAAGATGTTTGCCTGGAGGTGGCTACAAGTAATACCTTATGAGTTGGTCCCTTTCTGTAATGTTTCTTTCAGTTTCTCACGGGCCGCTGCCTGGAAATTGCCAAAATTTGGGCGGTTATTCTGCCACAGATCACGGAAAATTCTCCATAAAATTAAAGGGCAAGAGAATATGCAAAACTGCAGTTTTTTTTTAATACTTTTAGAAACCTTCATGTGGTAGATTAATAGGATTTTCTGTATTTCCCCAGAAAATTTTTTTTTTTGAATTATTTTGTATTTACCAAATTAAGTTACTTTTAAATAACTCAAAAATTTAATTTATTACCAACTTTGAAAGTAAAATTGTTTTCAATCGAGTCCATTTTCAAATTAAGGTTGCTTTTTAAAAACCTTTCTCAAGGTCAAATGTCTACAATTTGGATTGGTGACCTTCAAAAATAGTGGTAGAGGGTAGCCACTATCTGGACCTATTAGTTAAGCAAAGAGTTACTTGTGCATTTGCTAATTAATATCAATATTTTTCATTAACTTAATTTCAATTTTTTTACCCTCACTATTCACAGAAGAACCAAGGCACCTACAAGCCAAATTCATTAAAGTATTTCTCAAAGAATTTATTTTTTAAAAATGAGGTCAAATTTTGAAACAATTAAATGAAACAAATCTATTTATTAAATTAACTATTCATTTTACTAAATAATCATATTTAATTAAACAATTAATTTTAAAATTTTAGCAATAAAAAATACTTAGCATTATGGTCTCTTAGAGAAATATAGCAAAAAGTATTTATTTTTTGTGAATGGAAAACAAAACGATTATCCTAAATAACAAATAAAATATTAATAAGAGTGATAAATATTGTAGGATTTTAATTAATTACGTATCACGATTAGATAATATTGATAACGCATTGCGACTGTTACCTCTATTGGACAGATTATTATATTATATTGTCAAAAATTAAAATTTCAATTTTTTTGATAGGACGTTATTGAAAATGAAAAGAAAGTGACTTAGGATTCGTATATAACGTTACACTGTTCCTAAAAATATTTTAAAGATAAAAAATAATATTGGTTAACATAACTATACAACGATGATATAAATTTTGAGAAACAAATATGTAAAATAATATATTTTAATATTGGCATGTAAAATAAACGCATGTGTACTTACCAGTGGACACGAAGCCAGCAATTTAATTGACTAGATTTTGTGTGAATGAACACTTATATTAGCGAGGAAACGACACGTTTTACAATGAAGAACTGATCAACAAGACGGAATGTTTTCAATTATCGAAAAAATTAAAGGGTAATGTCAATATAAACATCAAACAACATTTTGACGTTGTATTGCGTCATGTTTTTTCCCTACACGGTTCTTCTGCTTCAAGGCTAAAGTTTGCGTCATATTCCTAATTGTTGCCATATTGTGTCTGTAAAAAATAAGGTACGGTTTTGCTTTTTCGCCAAGTTTGCACTGTGCACCAAACATTCAGTAAATTAAAAGACAATGAACTTAAAACAGCTAATGCAGAACAGTGAACTAAAATAATTGAACCAAGGTTTTTAAAGTTTATTCTCACTGCATGAATTCACTCATTTCAGCTCACTTTAAGGGACAACCTGATTGGTGAAATATATTCTCTTATGATATTGCTGTTGTTGTAGTTCATTTACGTCGCACTAGAGCTGCACAATGGGCTATTGGCGACGGTCTGGGAAACATCACCCTGAGGATGACCCGAAGACGTGCCATCACAATTTTGATCCTCTGCAGAGGGGGTGGCACCCCCGCTTCGGTAGCCCGACGACCTGCAAGCGAAGTCGAGCACTTTACGGTAGAACAGTTTAACGAGGACCAATACCGCACATCCTCGGTCCTTGTGCAGACTGATCCAAGTNTAGTTAATTGTCACACACTGACCGTAGCTAGTGATGCTTGACTTCGGTGATCTGCTGGGAGCCGTGTCTTAACGATCAGCCCACTGAGGGACATATTCTCTTATGAAAAACTCATCAATGAGATTCTCCTATTCAGCTATGCTACTTAATTAGTGCAGACATATTTTGAATTACCGGAATAGATGCAAGAAACAAACTTTCTCTTAAAAAACATACCCTTTTTTTCAACTATAAAAATATGGTAGTATTTTTAAGTATCGTCAGCATTAATTAATTATTATATTTGAGGTCACCCTTTTAATCTAATAGGTTTGAGTCCTAGTGCGGGAAGATTCAATAGCTAGATCAAAAGTTATTTATGGTATTTCGTTTCTTTTTTTTTTTTTCATCGCACTGTGCACTTTTGTGTTGTATGATGCGTTATTTAATTGGGTTATCAAATAATTGTTGGTAATTTGTTGTTGGTAATTTACGTCGCACTAGAGCTGCACAATGGGCTATTGGCGACGGTCTGGGAAACATCCCGCAGGATGATCCGAAGTCATGCCATCACAATTTTGATCCTCTGCGGAGGGGATGGCACCCCCGCTTCGGTAGCCCGACGACCTGCGCGCGAAGTCGAGCACTTTACGGTTGCACAGTTTAACGAGGACCTATACCGCACACCCTCGGTCCCTACGCAGACTGATCCAAGTGGTCACCCACGCGCACACTGACCGTGACCGTAGCCAGTGATGCTTGACTTCGGTGATCTGTTGGGAACCGTGTCTTAACAATCAGTCCACTGTGGGACGTCAAATAATTGAATTGGTAATTAAAAGAACAAATAAACATTAATAGCCCTCAACAATTTCAGCTAAAATCTACTGAAAGGGTTATTGGAGAAAGGATAATACTTTAACTTATAAGTTATTGAAACGGTGTTTTGAAAAATAAAGATTGTGGCAGAAATCTAAAACTTGCTCTAAGAAATCGATCGCATATTAACCCTTCGACACAAATTTTTTATTAAATATGTTTTTCATATTTTTTTCATTATTTTGAATTAATTTAGGTAAAATAAACGAAAAATATTATATTTAGTATTTTAATAATTTATAGTTTTGAAATTTAGCATGAAACACTAATGTCTTTTTCTGCGTTAAAGGTAAAATCTTCTAAACATGTCTCACTTTCAAACAATAATTTTCAAAATTTACCCTTATTTTCAGTTATTTAGACCTAAGAAAAACAATTATTCATCATTGAAATTTCGATTTACAAAATCAATTATTGATGAACTTTTCAATATTTATAAAAAAAAATTTCAAACTACTTTTTTTGGATTTATATTTTATCGCAAATTTTATACCAATATTCTAACAAATATTCTTAGTAATTATTAGATTGTTTTTACAATTGATTACACCAAAATATATTTTTACTTGTAATTCGAGTGTCAAAAAAAAAATATATATATATATTAACGAAAACCGGTATTCCATCTGCGTCAAAGGTTTCATGTATAACAAAAACTATCATAGTATAGTTTTGTGAATGGCGTAGAATTTAAAAATGCAACTGTTTTCTTATTAGTATATAT